AATCGAACTTTAAAATGTATCTCAATGGTCACCGAACTTTGCATCGTATTATCCATCCGTCACTCAAATCGATAAATCCGTTAAGTCCAACAAACGGCGTCAACTTGAGTGACGGATGGGTAACACGGTGCAAAGTTCGGTAACCATTGAGATACATTTTAAAGTTCACTTATGAAGTAGTAACATTTGGCGAGATTCAGTGACCATTGAGTTACATTTTTAAGTTCAGTGACTAAGTAGTAACATAGGACAAAGTTCAATGATCATTAACATTCATTTTTAAATCGAATTATTAAGTCCTTGTTTGAGTCTCATTCTTTCCAGAAAAAAAAATATTCTTAAACAGTGATTTGATATCATTCAACTACACATTATTCAATAAAATAATATTACATGCAAATTCAAAACTTTTGCTTATTTTTTAACTGCACATTTCCCATCAATATTATTCAAAAATTCATTTTATCCCTCAAAATGAGGATCAAACAAGGGCTAAACTTCTCAAATCGATCTCTATGAAAGAAGAAATCAAAGAAAATGAAGGGAAGAAAGAGGAAATAGAAAATCAAAGACCTATAAATTAAATAAAAATAGAATTGTTGCTAATATTCATCCATCATGGTGAAAAAGTACGTTTGATTTTTAGATCAACTGGTATCAGTTCACCGTATTTCAAACTCCGCATAAATAGATTGAAAGAGAAACAGTTAGAACATTAAAAGAAATTGACGAAGAAAAATTAAATAAAAGTACAAAAATGTTCGAATAGTGCCAATGTAACTGAGGTCGATTTGATTTTTCAACTATATTACCACTTAGTCATTGAACTTAAAAATGTAACTCAATGATCACTGAATTTCGTCAAGTGTTACTATTTCAACCAAACTTTAAAATATATCTTAATGGTTATCGAACTTTGCACCGTATTACCCATCCGTCACTCGAGTTGACGTCGTTTGTTGGACTTGACAGATTTTTCCATTTGAGTGACAGATAAGTAACACAGTGCAAAGTTCGGTGACCATTGAGATACATTTTAAAGTTTGGTTATGAAGTAGTAACACTTGACGAAGTTCAGTGACTATTGAGTTACATTTTTAAATTCAGTGACTAAGTAGTAACATAGGACAAAGTTCAGTGACCATTCATATAATTAATCCGTCTTCATTGTGATGGCTATGCTTGATTTTTCTTGACAACAACCTGCTACAGCCATCTCATTCCTGGACAGTAAGCAGGTTCGGGCCCTTATGTCTAGGAATTACTAATAGATATAATTACTATGATCCTTACATTTTAAACTTTCAATTTCAAAAATTAGATATCAATGTTTTTTTTTTTTTTTTTTTAAATAAAAAATCTGGTATACCCCCACCACCCCCACTAAACCAAACCATCTTTTCACTCATAGACTCATTCCTTTTGTTTTATCTCTTCCACCATCTTCCACATTGCACAACATGTTTGAAGAGGACGTCAAATTTAGTGTGGTGGAACTTTGCAACGAGACTATGGAGGAAGACTGGTCGCGACAATTGGAGTTGACGTTGGAGAGAAAGTTTGATTTTGCGTAGAAGGAAATGACACCGGGAGGAAGATTGATCACTTTATTTGTAACATGGGCAAGGGAAAAAGAACTACAAGATGATTGATTACCTTTACTAGAATTAAGGTAACTTCAAAAATTGTTGTCATCTTGTGATGACGAACTAGTCCTTCCTATAGGCCATCAAACGTACCTAGTTTTTTCGATGTACAATTCAGTGGCGGAAGCAGACATTCGGTGCTAGTGGGGCACGATTAAACTTATTAAAAAGTTATTACATAATTATGTATACTACATGAATACATATAAGTGATCATTGTCATAGATTCACAGATTTCATATATATGTAAAATAACAATTTTCAAAGAATTTCAAATAATCTCACATATATGATAAATAATAATTTTCAAAGAATTTTCAAATTAAATATCGCAGATGACTAAATAATCTCAACCCTCACTCTCTCAATTGTTTAGTCATCGGTGTAATTCTATTCTAATAAAAAAGCCAAACTACCGTTACTGTCCAATTATGATTTTTGGCTCCAAAACCCCCAAAAGATAAAGAAAAAAATTCTTGAAAGTTGGTGGGTCACTTTACCCACCAAGACCATATATAGGTCCGCCAATGGTACAACTCATATATCTCACATAAAGTTTTCTCGAGATTTCCATGCCCCTAAATAGTTTGGTAAAAAAAAAAAAGAAGAAAAGATTTAGATGAAAGCTGGTGAAATATGTGGTCAAAACTTGATAAAAAGTTGTGGATACCATGAAATATATAGTTGAAAATGAGTTTGGAAAAAAAAAATTGAAAAAAGGGGGCCCAAATAGGAGTCATGTGTAACTGGAGATCCAAAAGTTAATTTATTCGAAATTATGAATATAATATTTTTTGTATCCTCTAAATTAAACTTATGTACCATCAGTGAAGCTAACGAGAACAACATAGGCATTTCCTTACAATAATAAGGTTAAACAATAATGTTAAATAGGTCAAGATTCAAAACCATCGAAGAGGTAATATTTATGGGCCGGATCGAGTATTTGGACTTGGTTTTTGGTAATTAATTCACCATTGGCTCAAGCCTATGAAATTATATTCCGACATTTATATCATAGATCAAAATTAATTAGATATCAAAACCCAAATCTTCATATTGAAAACCAATCAACCTGCAATCACTTAAAATATAAAGTTAATACTTATATAATCAATGTAACCAATAAAATTGGGATAACAGACTTTACCTCAAGTTTCAGAACAGAAATACATACCTTACTTACTTCACGTACTCACCAGGACTAAGGTCACATATAAAATACCCAAGTAGAAATAAATAATCACAGTGAACAGTTAAGAACAATTAATCACGCGATGAAAATATAACATAGGATAATTCACAGATCTTTTCACAAAAATACGTTCACACAAAACAACATATTAACACCAAGTTAATTAACAAGCGACCAACATATATACAACAAATACATAAATAACACCACGAAAAAATCTTAACACACTTATCCCATCACATTCCGTGTTGCTCATACCTCGAGAACACATATCTTTTCTCATCGCCCCCATCATGTTTACCAGATAGATCATTCAACTCATATTTAACTGGCAAATCACAATAAATTCTAAATGATCGGGATAATCTCTATCACTATGTCACTCACTTCTCCCATCTTAATTGGATAATGGGTTTCCACCTAAGAAAAGTAATAGAAACGCCTCTCTCACACTTCAGATAAAGGATTCTAACATTTAATTACATCTCCACTCGTGATCCAAATGCCACACTCCACATCTCCATTACATACTATCAATGTACCTCCGAACATCTATACTTCACATCACCAATAGACACATAATACACTTACTGCTAATGCATCACAACTCACTATGCATGCAAATAATTACACAAAGCAATCAAATTGCTCTAAAATTCATGCAAATGTATATATCAAAAACATTGAAATGCAACATATAATCATATAACAAAATTAAGCAATCACACACACATACAGAAAAGATTACACATAGATGCACATCCAGTAATTATGTTTACTCTCGATAAACCTCACTAGGGTCATCACTCGACTCTATAGCCACATTCGCCTCACCTCTAATCTTACTCTTCTACTTATTTTTCCTCTTAGGACAGTCCCAAATAAAGTGTTCAGTCTTACTATAACTGTAACACCGCTTACCATTACATTTGTTCCAACTTTTGCCCTTTATCTTACCATCCTCATCACTCGAGTCATTACTCGAATAATTCCTATCTTGAGATCTACCCATATTCATTTGATTAAACTTGATTTTACTCCTCATCATATGTAACTCACCACTCTCCTTATCTTCTTTTTTCAACCTTAATCTCCATTTCCTTACTTTTAAGGAAATGTTGACAATTTCGGGTGTTAAGTTGTCCCTATCATACTTAATTGCATTATTAACCTATTGAATTAAGCAAAAAAAATGGCATTTTATGTTTTTGACATATTTTTATCACAGTTAACAATATCTTGAACAAACGTGTTGAAAATATTTAGATTGTCATCGAGATCCTTTGAAAAATCTAGTTTAAAACTGAAAAATCTTTTAAGCAAGTACAACCTACTAGGAGTAGATTTAAGGAAATACAAGTCCTCCAACTTTTGCCATTTGTAGAATCAAGTTTTCCAACTTTTTTTTAAAAAAAAGTGTCAAATAAATGTTAATAATTGAAATGTAAGCAAGTTTATCATATTTTTCTTTTTGTGCTTCTGCCAAATTTGCAGGAAATTTGTCATTATGGCTTTTGGAACTTTTTATTGAGCCAAAATCTCCTTTATCGTCTGTTGCCAAATTGAAAAATGTCATTTTCCATTGAAATTTTCAACTTTGAAATGTGAAGGCATTTTGGGAAAAAAACAGCCAAAGTGCACAAAATGCGATTTTAGATCAAGAGAGTGTTCAAACGGGTCAAGTGTAGGTGTTCTGATAGGATAATCAATGCAACACGAACGTATGTTAACAAAAATTCAAATTCTCACGCAGTGCAATCTCATACAGTTATTAGACGACAATTAGAACACAAAATCAATTATCAACTTACAATCAAATTTAGCACTTTGAACAGAGCAAGTAATCCCTAAATTTCTAACACAAGAACTTTTTGTGGACATGATTATGGTGGCTCTTGTTGGAGTTCATAATTAGATTACTTATTTACTTTATTTTTCCATTTCGTGTACCATTAAAAAAAGGAGGAGGAACAGAAGCTCCACTTTATTAAGGTTTTACTTCACTTTTACTGCATATATATTTTTTCATTTGCAAGCTTAGGTCACGTCAAGAGACGAGAGGCTTAGCAGACAGACAGTCGTGAGATTGAAGACATTTTCGGCTTTGGAACACAAATATCATGGAAACTATTCAATGTAGTTTGTTATGGAAACATTGATACAATACAATTGGACTTTCAGAACAATAATTTGAGTTTGGAACACAAATACAATGGCGTTTTGAACAAATCAATACATATCATTCTGAGTGACGAAATGATACATATATTAGATACAAAGGGAACAAACTAATAACACATTACAAATGTAAAGGTTTACAGAAAACAAGGGGCAACCAAAAGTTACCAATATATCGATTTTGGAAATGGTATATGGAGCACAAGAAACTAATTTTGTAGTGACTCTTTATTTTCTTGGCTTGTTCTTGTCATCACTTCTCCTCTGTGCTGCCCCTCCTTCGCCTGGTTTCTTATTCCTTAATTTCAACACTTTTTATCTAGAATTTATTCGACTTGCATTGTTTTACCCAATTTATAAGTTTGATTTATGGGAAACTACATTGTTGTACATCTAATTGTGGGTCATCCCTTAGGAGGAAATCTTGGTAACATCCTTGCTAGATCTATTGTATTTCATGTGACTCTTTACAAGTTGTCCAGCTGCAATAGCAGACATTAATGATAGTTCCCCAGCAAGAACAGAACCAGCTACAATTGTTGCCAATAGCCTCGCATTTGCCCCTGCCGACTCTTTGCTTGCACCCTTTACTCCTAGTAAATTCAAGCAAGCTGATTGGGATGAAAGTTGAGTTCCACCTCCAACTGTGCCCACCTGAATTGTATCGTACAATAATGCAAAACTTAGTGTGGACCCAAAATCCAGACTACATTGTATCTGTTTTGTGACTTTTTGGGCTAATTAATATGATGAGACTAAATTGTGTAAATGTACCTCAATGGAAGGCATGGTGACTGAAATATGAAGGTCTTTTCCGTCATTTACCGCCTCCATCATTGTGATGCAGTGAGAGCTCTCAATGTTTTGTGCCGGATCCTGGCCGGTTGCTATGTATACTGCTGATACAATGTTACTAGCATGTGCGTTGAACCCACCAAGGGCTCCAGCAATGGCTGAACCAGTAAGGTTTTTGAGCATGTTGAGTTCTACTAATGCAGCAACATTGGTCTTCAAAACCTTTTTCACAATCTCCTCCTTTATAATTGCCTCGCAGACGACTGACTTGCCACGCCCTTCGATCCAGTTCACTGCTGCTGGCTTTTTGTCCGAGCAAAAGTTTCCTGAGAGAATTCAAGTACTTCGATAAGTGAGCATGTCAATATGTAGCGGCAATAATGAAATTAATAGTAAAAGGAAAATCCATCGACTTCAAAGCTTGTGAAGGGTACCACACCAAGTGGTCGACTTGTACATCCGAAGTGTATTAAATAATTATAACCTACTGAAAATAAATGAGTGAAGGTGAAGTTAAGGTGTATACCAGATATGCCAATAACATCCATATCAGGAAAATCATTCCCAAGAAAATCAAGAACATTTTGCACTCCCTTGGAAACCATGTTCATCCCCATTGCATCACCAGTGCTGCTGTTAAATCTAATGTACAAGTTCTTCCCTGCTATTGCACAATGAATCCCTTGTAGCTTAGCAAATCTGCTTGATCTGCACATGCCCCAGTCACACATAAACATTAATTCTAACAAATTGCTGCCTGATACGCTGTACTCTACAATATTAAAATCGCGAAAAGACCTCAAGTCCCTGTTTGGTCGCCGTTATTTGAAATCCTAATGGTTGGAATAGTGTTTTATTTTTAAAAATGTGTAGTTAAAAGAAGAAAAAATTTGGAATTATATGTAATATTATTTTATTGAAAAATATGTGATTAGTAAAAATAAAGAAAAAAATGAATTATAATTTAATGCTTAGTGTGAACATATTTTTGAAATGCATTTACGACGACCCGTGTATGAACTGTTTGACATTATTTCAGTATGAATCTCACCAACCTCGCCGAAATAATGGATACACGTAAGCATCAAATTTAAGTCAAAGTCTGAAAGTAAGAATGGGAAGCAAATTCTTATCACTCTTCTTTTTTGAAATTTACTGACAGTAAATTCTTATCACTGATCATTTTTTGGAATTTTGCAAACTATTTTGAAATTTACTGACACCAAGTTTCAAAAGTCTCTAACCAAAAATTTAAAATTTTTTCAAAAATACATTTTTCTCTCTTTTCTTTTCAACAACATATTCTTTATTAAAATAATATTACACGTAAATCAAGAACTTTTTTTATTTTTTAACCACACATTTCTCATCAATTTACTATTCAAAAATACATTTTTACATAAAAAATATCTCCCAAACACCCCCTAAAAAGGAAAGTGACAAAAAAAACAAAATTTCTACGGTATAAATAAGAAATTAATATGCTATGAACCAGCGTTCAAATGTATTTTCTCATAATATTCAATAGAATAATGCTATCTAATATCAGTAGTGTTGAACATTAGTTTAGGTGTCAACATATCATATGTCCAGTTAAATGAACTATAATTCCTTGTATATTTAATTAAATATGTAATTTAATGCTATTAGTATTGACACCTAGATTAGTGTTAAATTACATTACTCTATTCAACGTGAAAATTGCCGAATGCATCATCCTATAATTGATTATTCTAATCGAATACGAGAGAGCATGTGTTGGTTGCGTAGGTAAAATTACTAATGGAAGGATATCTACACTGATTAAACACATAATTAATAGTAATTTTTCGAAGAAATTGTGAAATTAACATAAAAGCAAGATGGAGTGGAAGAAAATACTCACTTGTTGAAGACAACAGAGATGGTCTCATAATTCACCGGATTCTCCAAGTACAACTTCAACTCGGCGGCCCTCTTGGCGGTTTCGAACCTAACCACCGGAGCTCTAGTCATCCCATCTTTCAACAAAGTGCCGGTGGCGCCGCCTGATGCATAGATGGCCTTGCAGCCCCTATTGGTACTAGCCACCAAACACCCCTCCGTCGTGGCCATCGGCACCATGAACTCCGTGCCGTTGAGCAATAAAGGCCCAGCTATCCCTACCGGAATCTGCACGTACCCCACTGGCATCTCACAGCACTGCCCGAGAATCGACTCGTAGTCGAATCCCTCAAGAGGCAGTCCCTCCAGAGATTTCCCAGTAATTCTCTGCAATGCCTCTCTACGAATTGAAGCTGCCCTTTTGCAGTCTCCAAGCTTTGATTCCAAAGAGTATGATGGAACCTTCCCTTCCACTACAGAGTTTACAATCTGCTCATCCTCCTCTGATGACTGCGGTGTAATTATAGGTGCTGGCTTTTCTGTCACCGGAACCTTGGTTGGTTGCTGTGGGATCAAAGGGATAACCGGGACGGCACAACCGAGTGTTGTGGCCGGGGATGCCCCCATGCGACTGTCTTCCTCGATAATGAATTTCTCATTTTCTTCCTCTTCCACATCCCATGCATCCTCGTTTGATCTGTAAATGACAGACTGAACAAAGTCTATGCCGAAAAATCCTATGAGGTAAATGATAGAGGCCAATAAAGAAACCGAGGCGGCTAATTCGGATAACGTAACAACGTGGAGAGGAGTGGAGTTACGGATCTTTTCACGCCACCGTGTGAGGAGGAAGTACATGACAGAGAAAAACATGGTGAAGAAGAGTCCGTTTGTGAGAGAAAGAGGTAGAGGAAGGGCATCGGAGGGCTTGGGGTTGTTGGGTTTCATAGGTGAGTCGCCGGCGCCAATTTTGACAGACTGAGGCATCTTGGCTTGTCTCCGACGAACATCCATGGAAATTTATTAATCTGACTTACAGCTCCCAGGCGAGAAGGGCGAGGGAAAGTGGAGGGTGGCGGTGGTGGTGTAAGAGATGAGCGTAGAAGCGAATGTTAGGGGAGTAAATTTATAGATGAGGATAGTTTGGCGCGCTGGACGTTAGGCCCACACTTAATGCGTGGTATTCGCATTAATACCCTTTTTCTTGTAATTTTCTTAATTAAACACAATTTCTTCAAATTAGTCTTTAAACTTTTCGCCCCTCGGGGCATGGTCTAGTGGTGCAAAGGACAGGAGTGAGGTAGTCTCAGCCTTGCTGACAACCGCAGTGTGAGAATTCGATTCCTGAGATATGGAATTGGACTCTTTGTGGGCATCAGTGTACAGGCAAGCTCTTGTTCCTTGGTTTGTTGGAGCACATCCCGCGATTTATCTCTCTTACGATATTTCAGGGGCGGGGCGGTGGGGGACCCTCAAGATTGGGGTTCAACCTTTTAGTCTTTAAACTTTTCAAAAATTACGGTAGCTCTCCTCAACGTTTGGTAAATTATTTTCTTTTATATATATATTTTTAATTTTCATGGCAAGATGTCACACTTTTTATTACAGGTGATATCGCACTATGTGCATGTTTGATTTTGATTTTTCACCCTAAAAAATCAATTTTTTGATTGTTACTTACTTAAGTCAGCCGTCATTTTTTACTTTTTCTCTCATAAGTGGAATCCACTTTTCTTTTTAATGATTATAAAATCAATTCTCATAATCATTACTGAGAGATGTTAAAATTTGAGTGGAGAACAACATATTTCAATTCAGTTAAGAGCAAGACTATTATGGACATTATTATTAAGGGCTATTTGGCTTAAAATTTAAACATGGAGGAGTTATGTAAGTGCAAAGAATTGTCAAATTAAATGTCTGTAATCTACCCTAAGATTATGATGTTTACTTAACAAAGAATGCTAACGAAGTGCTCCAAAATCGATAATTGCCATATAGGTAGGGGAGTTGAGGGGGATTTTCTTATTTCTTTCCCTCTCCTATTTATTTATTTATTTTTAGTTCCTTTCTTGAGATGGTTGGCAAATTATCCCTTGAAATTAAAATTTGCAAGGCACTTGAAATTTTTATGGAGAAGTTGAAGGTTTCAATCCAATATGTATTTCTGCTTAGCAAAGCTAAAAAGGTTGAAGAATTTAACCAGCTGTTTGATATAGATTAAAATCAAATTAAAATTTTGGGTCATAGTCAACAATTAATTTTAACCTTACACTTTTTGAGATTCAAAACATTTTAACGACACATTTTATCAAACTTTTATCAAAATTTACTAAAATTTTGATTTTAATATACAACAAACAGGGGATAAATATCACCCAAAAAAAAAAAATGATCAAGCACAAAAGTGCTCAAATTTTCAAAATTTTCCATTAACTTCATAAGTAAATATATTTTCAACTTAGCATTAATTTCTCACATATCATCCCCAAAAATATTTTCTGTTTTTCTTTTTTTCCTTAAAAAAAAATTTCAAAGTTCCGTAGTCCTTTTTAATTACTGGGATAATTAAAGATTTTTAGTAGGTGCAATATAAGGGGGAAAAAAAACTATATCAAAATTGGTAAAAAGAAAAATAAGTCGTGTTTGAACCCCATTAAGTCATATTTGACACTTATTATTTGAAAAGTTAAAAAGTTTTGAATAGTATTTTTAAAGAATTTGTGTGATTAAAAAGTAAGAAAACTTTATTAGTTTGTGTGTAAAATATTTTATTGAGTGAATGTGTGATGGATAATGATACTGTAAAAAATAATTTAAATTTTTAAAGATTGATTTTCAATCACATTTTTTTAATAAAATAACTTTGCACAAAAATAAAAAAAGTTTCCATTTTTTTTAACTATACTTTCTCTAAAAAAAAATCACCACCTCATTTTGCCTAAAAATAGGGCTCAAAGAGTAGCTAAATTTAGTAATTAATACCTATACCATCCGTGTTACCTAACTAATGAATATATTGTAATGACATGCCTAACTTTTTTAACTTCTAATTTTGTCACCGATAAAAAAATGGACGAGTATAATATTTTATAAGTTGAAAACTAAATCAATCAAATACATAATTAATAATTTTCATACAAATAAATTCTAAAGAATTGTTAGGTAAATTGCGGGATGTGCTCCAACAGACCAGGGAATAAGAAGTGCCTATACACTGCGCCTACAAGAGTTGCCTGTACATAAAGTTTTATATCGATACACAGGATGATAACTTACTTTTTCTTTAATTGCATGTGGAAATTGCTTATTTTTTATAGTAATATTTAATATATAAGTTATTTCTAAAATAAATGATTATTAATTTTTAAATTAACTTATTAAAATTGATTTGTTTTAAAAAGTTATTAATTATAAGAAGCTTTTCAAAGCTTAGTCAAACGCTTACCTAAAATCTTAACTATTGTCCGTAATCCCAGTTTGTTCATTTTTTTAAATTAAGATGTCAATTTGTCAATTATTAACTTTTGAAAGAGTCCCCAAGGTCTAAACTTTATTTACAAGTTGTTACAAATTCTTTAATAAGGTAATTTCGTGTAATGTTTTATATAAAATTTTGAGGTGTTCAACTTATTACTATACATTGCATTATTACAATAACCATATAATTTATTATGTTAAAAAAATTGTATTTTATAAAAATTATAGACGTTATTAGAGACACTCCTGATATTTTCGACAATATCAGAGACAAGCATCACGTTTAAAGGTATCACTAAATATCCCATATTTTTAAATCTGAATATTACATACACCTCGACCACTTTTTGAGTTGTATATAATCTAAAATTTGATATACTTAAAAATGTCCTTGTGAAGGGAAAAAAAAAATTTCCTATAAATAGTTACAGTTTAATTTGTTCTCTTTAATAATGAATTCATACTTAAAGGCCTTACACAGACAATTCTAATATGCATGCTACTGGAATTTTAAACCTAAAATTAGTTGAAGAATTTGATAATAAGTGGTTGGAAGTTTTTGATTAATTTATATAATACGTATACATAATTTAAATATTAACAACTGCAAACTTATCAATAAAAATATATTTATAAATGTTGTCGGAAATTCGACTAACGCAATCAAAAGAACAAATAAAATAAGCAGAAAATAGAAAACAGTAAATGAAGCAAGATATGCCAATAAAATAAGCAAATCTCCTTAAGACAGATTTCGCCCCCAATAAAGTGCAAACGGGATTATGGACGTCTGTCTCCCAAGATACAACGCTCCTTCCAAAATCGATACTGCACAATACCAACCTTGTCGATCGAACCAATGAACGATCGTACTCGAACGGAATAACCACGGAAATATAAGAGAATTTTTTTAGAGTAGAATATGGAGAGAGAAGAATTTAGAAATCAATTGAATTCATAATTGATTTGGTGTATTAAAAACGAATTTGGGGTTCTCTATTTATAAAGATTGAAGTGTCTCATGGAATAGGTATGTGACATTTCAGGAACTGGTGCACCACTTGGTCTGATTCGTCTTAACCATTGGATCGCACTATTTTCATGATCTGACGGCCTAGATTGAACCATGAAGTGAAGTGTCCATTCATCATGCCTATTAACCAATTTCTGAACAGTCACAGCCATGCGGATGCCACGCGTACATCTAACTGCCACGCAGGACGAAGGGACGCGACCTACCACTTGTGCGCCACCTAGAATGCCAACTTACCGAGCCTTGTGCTGCCACGTCATCGAACCGCAAGTCCATTTCCGAAAACTATAAAGCTCCCCAACTCCTCGCGACAATGCGTAGTGCCAGGTGCGCCTCTAAAGCGCCCAATGCGTATTTTGCAACGTGCCGGGATCGGGTCCAGGGAGCGGTGCGAGTGGTGCGAAGCACCACTTTAGTGCTGACTAGCCTTTGGCTAGTTAAATTTAGCCAAATGGTAGGTAACTTATTAAATTATATATTATTTATACAACCCACTATATAAACAAGACTATTTTCTTGTAAACTTTCGATGTGGGACTCCTTTTCATATAAAAAACACTTAAAATGAGTTTATCAACATATAGGCCTATATTGGAGACTTTTCCAATTCACCTAAATTAATTGCAATGACCCACGTCATTAAATATTACATTTAGTTATTTTAAACCCAACTCAAATTCAATTAATTCCAACAATAAATTTATAAAATAAAATAAGATGTTAAATATATACGTGTCCTTTTATAATTCAAGTAATTTTAGCTAAATAATAGTATCTGTTAATTTATTAAAATAATTTATACCTTCAAAATTTATTACTAGATAATGATAATAATATAATAGAATACTATATTAATGTAATATATTAATCACCGTAATATTTCAAAGAAATTAAGTAAATTTATATGATAAAAATTTATGTTATGTCAATTTATATTCTTATAGTTTAACTTGAATAAAATAAATTGCAGCTAATAGTAAAATATATAATCCTTTTCTTCGCAATGATATGTTTGAGAAATTAAATAAATAAATAAATTCATGTAAACTTAATTATAAGAAAATTTTCAAAGATTAGCCAAAGACACACCTAAAATATTAACAACTTGTCCGTAATCCGGTTTATTCATATTTTGAAATTAAGATGTCAAATTGCCAATTAGTAAGGTAGAATGTTTTATATAAATTTTAATTATTTAATTTGTTAAAATAGTTTATATTATCAAGATAACCTTCACATAATGAATATTGTACAAAAATTAGAGAGATATAAGAGATACCCACATCCCCGCATTAAAAAAAAACATCACCAACCTCTCGTATATCTAGATTTAAGTATCACATATAATCGACCACTTTTTGAGCAATATATAATTTAAAGTGGGGTTGATATAATGACCTTGTGATGAAAAAGATAAATTTTTTGTATAATTAGTTACAATAAAATTCGTTTCCTTACATGATCAATGACTTTATGCAGACAATTCTGCTTATGCATGTGATGATAAGTGCATATTATTACTTATTTGTGCTTCTAAACTTGCTTATTCATTGGTATACTGAACGAAATTCCACCTAATTTAGTGTAAATATG